CATTCTACGACAAGTTCTTGGACTCTGGCGAAACGCGCATTTTTATCAATTCCTCATCACCTTCATAGATATCATTTTTGAGATAAAAGTAATTTTTTATCCGTAACACCCTTTATTTTGGACAAATCTTGAAATTGGATTAGATCATCAATTGACTGCATTTAAACTCAATCTTAATTTGCAATGTTAATCTGAGAAACTGTTAACTCATAATATAATCAGACAACAATCAAGAGACTGTTTAATATGCAAGTAGAGTTAAAATTAATTACAATTGTTATATTAAAACAAAGGTTTTTGTTGTTATGAAAAAAGGTTAATCAGGTTTTGATTTAAACATGAATTGGAATGACGATTAATTTTGTAAACGGATGAAGCAAAAATAATTAACTTTTCTAATGAAATTAGGAGAGAAGTTGCTGTTTTTATTTTACTGTAAGTTGATGATGATGATGAACAAAAGGCTGAAATGAAACTTCATTGAACTTGGTAATAGTTATGATAATAATGATATTTGTGTGTATTAAATATATAAGCAGAGTTAATAATGAATGAAATAAGGTAAACAAGACAACATGTTCATGATATTAGACTTTATTCTGGTGAGCAGAAATTCTGGTTTCTAATTCTGCTATTCATCTTTTTTACTCAACTTATTATCCCTTTAAGATGTGTTTTTCTTGCTGATGAATGAAAAAGATGCTGATCAAGGTAAAGGAGCAGAAAGAAAAGGGGGCAAACTAAGGTGATACGGAAGTAGCCCTGTTCTTGATTCTGGTCTCACCATGAATCGGCTTGAAATTTATTGGAAACCTTGGTTATTTAACTAATATTAAGCAAACAGTTAAGCTTCTTGAAATGATGGACAAACTTGCACAGTAAGATGAGAAGAATGAGAAGGATGAAGATTCAGATGGATTCAAGAATCGCCCAGTCGCTGGATGTTACCTGACTAATGGCCTTAAGTACCGAAGTGTTTTTTCAAGTTATTAACCGTCAAAATACAGTATTTATGTTACCTTAATGTACAGCCGGTTAAGCCGGTTGAGGGATGAATGGTAATAGTATAACTATTATACTATTATCATTTATTAACATCAATATTTTTTTTGTTCATCAATATTATTCATTAAGGATTTTATCGATAGTTTTCATCATTAGTATCATTTTAGATTCGCATTAGTTGATGTTAATTTTTTGGGTTGCAATATTTACATTTTAATAATTAGATTTTAACATAGATGGCACAAGAAACAATCCTTTATTTTCCCGGCTTCTAATTGTGTGGTAAAGATAAAATCATGTGGTCAAATATGGAAGATAATTAACATTGAGATTGGGTTTTGAATCTTTTTTTTGTTTGTTTGTGTTTCTTAATTTAGGTTAAATTACTGTGTTAACAATAGAGTCAAGTCTTAATCTTTTACCTGATTGTTACATCTATTGGTACGATGGAGTCGTAAGTTACTTGTTGAATTGTTTCTGGTTAATTTGGTCCTTGGTGTACAACAAAGGCAACATGGTTCCAAGGGTAATCCTCGTTTGTTTGTTACTTCACTATTGTTATTGTTTACATTATTGTGCACTGTCAGTGTTAGGGTTGACGCTGATGTTGCCTGATTTAACGTGTTTAAATTGTTGACAGATAAACTGTTGTGTCGATTAATTTCATTTAGATTATCGCATGATAATAAACGCTTTCGATTTATCCCTTTTCCAGTGGTGGAAGACGCTAGACGACCAATCGAGGAACTATTACTGTTGTTATTGGTGGCATTCACTTTTCTTTTGGCCTGTGATGTCGATAAAGTGGAATGAGATGAGTGTTGGTGCTGTTTGTTAATTGATTGTATTGATCCATGGGTATGGGAATGATAATTGTTGTTAACTAGGGATGACAGTGAAGGTGAAGAGGGAGAAGAAACTTGCTGGTGGTGTTGATGGTTGGATTGGCTTCTTAAATCACACAATGAACGATATCTATTCAACGGATTATTTAACATGGCCAATCAAACAAATTTTCAATGGGTTGTTGTATTAACATGAACGATGGACACAAGCAACATGCAAGCTGAACAAACGTAGGATAAAAAAACGCTGAAGTTGAACTAGTCGTTGATCGTTTTGTATTACATTCAATCAAATTATAATCAAACTGACAGATGGTGGCACCAATTGGTTCAACAACACAATGTTGATGTAAACACATACACTCTCGTGGACTGGCGTAGATAACAATAAAAGCTAACCAATCTCCTGCATTTCTTGAAATAATGTTATACCAACAACTAACCCAGGTAAACTGAAAAGCAACCTACTTGTCGACTTTTCATTCTCCCTCGACTCACTTCAACTCACCTTTATTTTCCATCTTTCAACTCCCTTTCCATCATCTTCTTTCTTCCTTCATCTGCTTTTTATTTTCATCATTTTACCTTCTTTCATCTCTCGTTTCCTTCAACTTTTATCTTCCTTTTTTCATATCTATTACCGTCAATCTGTTTCTCTCTTCCTTCCATAGACCCGAAACTCATTGTAATTTCTTAATTCCTTCCGATTTTCAACCTTTATTCAGGTAAATCTCCAATTGATGGCAATATTTCCATTCCAATATGCACCCGCCAGTTGACAATCAAGGTTTCACCGTCACTTTAAAGACAATCAACTTGCCGTGATTTTTTTCATCAATCGTAATTTAATTTAACTCGCTGCTATTAATAAATATATATACTGTCTTTTATTGTTTTTATTGATTCAATAAGCAAGTAAAACTCAAACCAACAGGTAGTTTACTAGCTTTTAATTAATCGATGAAAGCATAATTGATCAACGAAAATAGAGATTAACTTGAGCAATAATTCGGTTAAAAAGTGAAATGCTATTTCGGTAATAATTTGATAATAACCTTAGCTCAATTTTATATTCATAAACTTGTCGATAGTTCATGTAACGTCTGAAGCTGTGTATCACTTGATCTGTCCTGATGATTATTTTAATTATACCTATGATTATCGTCTTCTTCCTACCATTTTAGTTTTCCTGTTGAATACATTTTCAAGGTTCCTTAAAGCTTTTCAAGCGACTTGTCACCTTTTCACCAGAATTACTATTATATTTTCATTAACCTAACAACAATTGTTAACATTTTAAGGTGAACAAAGAATTGAATTGATTCAGTAAACTGATCTTCCAGCTAATCGCTCATAATAGCTATAATTTATTTGGAAATGAATCTCTACTCTAATTTGAATTCAAAAATGTAAATAATTCTTGTTGAACTTTACTTTACTAATTGTCAGTCAACCATTTCAGACACAATTGGTTGATGCTAGTCATAATCATCGTAAAAGTTAAATTGCTAAAGCACATTATACCTGTATAATAATAACAAAGAAAGTAACCTTAAATTTTACAAGAAACATTGAACTGACAAGAAAAAAATGAAATTTTGTTGAATCTGTTTAGTCTTTCTTATGCTAATATCAAGCAACAATTCAATGAGTCGAATAAAAATTTGGTAACAATCAGAATTGTCATTTCTGGCTTAACCGGACAACCTTTCTCAATCAATTTGTAGTATTTTGAAATAACAATAACCTAAAAGATTTAATTGTTGAGCTATTTTTATAATGAAGCAAAACAAAACAAAGTAAAAAAAACAATTGAACGCCTTAATAAACAAATATTAACAATATTTAAAATTAGAATGTGGGACAATTTGATGATTGAATCAAAAAAGCAGTGTCATCCATTGATAACTGTTAACAAGGTTAACAAAACAATTAGCGACAAACAGAGGCAATTTGTCAATATCAACAGTTTATGCATTCATCTATTACCTAGATTTTTACTGCAAATAATAAAGCAATAATAGACGTAAAATTGTCCTCAAATGTTTTATGAGTGCGTGAATCAGGCACAGATTGAACAAACTGATAATTCATTGATTGATTGACTGATATGTCAGCTTTTTAACCAGTAAATTGAAATGAGTTGGCTTGGCCAGCGGTTTTACAAATCTAAGTCAAACCACTGTAGAGTCAGTGTCTTTGGTCAGGTGTAGAGTTGGCGTATCTTGAGATTTACTGACAAACTCTGGACTGATTGTGGTACATTGAGTCGAGAGTGTCCAGTTTGCAGTGCAGGGTTGAAAGTTTAGTTGGGATCAATTCAGTCACCATGCACAATGTATTAGTAAACGCTTTTCATGCATCATGTCCAGCAAATTCAATGATATTGGCCTATTATATTTTGTTAGAAGGAGAAAATGATTAGAAGCCTGTTGTTCAATTGTTGGTGAAAATTATCAATCAAAGTGAAAACAGCAAACAAAGGATAAACACAATATTACCTGATTTTTTAAACCAACTCGCTCATCATTCGGATAGGGATCAAATCGAAATGCATTGTAACCTTTTTTTCGTTGATTTTTAACTTTTTGATGATTCATCGTGATCCGTTACGACTAGATGGCCAATTTTACCAATTAACTGACCATTCATCAAATAATCTAAACATTAGAAAGACAGAAAAAGTGTAAACAGATTAAAGAAATCAACAACCCAAGGGTCAACAATAAGGACAAGTAAGATAAGGATAGAGAGAGAGGAAAGAAAACAAAGCCTTTTACCTTTACCCGTTTTGGGTTAACAATTGTTGCTGCAGTTTTAACTCTTTAACCCAATCTATTTAACTTCTTCCTCTTCCGTTAATCATCATCCTGTCAGGTTAAAATCAAGATAACAGCAATTAACAAAACACAATCCGTGATTATTCAAAATAAAACGAATAACAATTAAAAAAAATACTTACGATTTTATACGACAAAGGGTAAATAGAGAGGCAAATCGTCTGGCTTGGTATAGGAAAAATATTTTAATGGCAGATCTGTTGGTTGATTAGCTGATTAATTATACTGAGTTAATCAAAGATTAAAGACAAATAATAAACAATTAATTGATGAATAAGAAGAAGAAGACACCATGAATTAAATACTATAATCAAATTCAATCATACTTGTTCATCTTATGTGTTATTGCGTTGTTTCTTTTGCTGTTGCTCTTGTTGAGGGGTTATTGTTAAACAACGAACTGTTTTGCTTAATTGCTTAATAATAATAAGGGAATTGTGTTTAACAGTGGAAACGTGATAAATGTCTGTATAATCAAGCTCAACAAAAATATAAATTGTAATCAAATAATTTGACTGGTTGTTGTTTAACTATTGCTTTTGTTGATGTTTCTCTTGTTGATTCACAGTTATTTCATGTTAGATCGTGAAGAGTGTAAACAAAAAGAAATTGAATTCACAATTGAATTTGTTTTTTTCGTTGATAAATAGATAGGGATTTCTCGTTGATTGTCGCACTCGTTAAATTTTTACCACACAATCAAGTGGTTCGTAAGTTTGTTCATTGTTCAATGTCTCGGTAATTTGTAAACTAACAAGCTTTTACTTTTCCTCATCCCTAAACATCCTCATCATAGTCTCTCATCATCCTTTTCAGACATAACCGAGTTAAGTACATGTTAATGTTAACCTAAAAATGTTGATCTGAGCCAAGTAATTAAAATAATTTTGTGATTTATTTTTAGATTTAGGCGAAGTTAACTTTCCTGGTTAAAGTCAATACTCAAGTCCTTCATTAGCATCTTTAAAAGCGATATTAAATGACATCAAAGAAGGTTTGATTGTCAATTGATTTTCATAATCATTTGGGTTCAACAGTTGGGTTGAGTCGGAAAAATCCTTGAATATTAACAACCAGAATGTCTGCTTTTCATGATCATTTCCTTTCTTAACTATGCATACACTTTGCATGGTAAACGATTAAAATTGTTCCAGTTATTAGCATTGAAATGAACTTGAGACAAATAGATGATTGATTTAGATAGCAATTTAGAAACAATCCGATTGATGAGAGATGAAAAACAAATCCAAAGCTAAATAGACAAAAGAATGGGATTTTTGAAAACAATCAAACTAATGATCTAAAAATTGTATTTCATTTCTTGCAATTAAAAGTGCATTTTAATTTCCTTTTCATATATAATTGTTGATATCATTAAATCATAAAATCAGAGCAAATGTTTGATTTCTTACATAATTGTGACATTTGTTGTAATCCAGTAAAAATAAAATTAAGCCTAAAAGACCAAAAATCGTTCAACTTATTCCATATCTAATAATAATCTGATTTAAGCTGATTATCCAAGTTGATCAGTTGATTGTTATAACATGAAATACAAAGCGATTTAATAATACATGATACTAAATTAAGAAAATAGGAATATTTTGAAACATTTTACATTCTATTATTAATTTTCATTCTCAAACTTTTACTCCAATTGAACAAAACTGAGTCAAAAGTGATCTTTCAAAGTTTACGATTAAGTTAATCAACAAGATTGATCTACATTTCATCAAAGTCCAAAGTTACTTTGAAAATTGAAAAAACAAATGAAAAAGTTAATTTCTCAATTATGAACGTTCATTAGAGTCAACCAAGCCTGTTTAATTAATGGTTAATAGTTTTATTGATAGAAACGAGATTAAATCTGATTCTAGCTTTAAATTTAAACCTAAATGCACAATATTTAATGACAATTAACCAGTTATTTGAGTTATTTAAACTCATCAAATGATTCTATTCATAAAACTGATTACATCATTAGGACTGAAGTCATAAACCTTTGTTTTTCAACTGATCGCTTATCATTAAACTTTTGGCAAAGCATTGCGACTTTCAAAGTCTCATGAATGACATGGACAATGAGAAATGCTCATTCAACTTTCTTTAAAGTTGCTTTAGAAGCTTTAATTGCTCAAATTTAACTCACATTTTGCTTCAATCTGGGTTTTTCAATGTTAACCCATTAGATAATCACAATTAATTGCCCATTCCAGTTGGGTTGTGCATAAAAAGCTGTACAGAAACCTTTCGAATGAGCATTGAAACTTGCTGGGAATGAAAATGCAAACTTTTTTCGCGAAGAGCTTTGGACAAAAACTTTTATTTTCGTGTTAAGAATTGAAGCTTGATTTAGGTGCAGGAGCATAAAAACTGTGCATCAGTGCTATTGAAATATTTCTTTGAAGGACAGTTTTAGAGAAAATGGATGTCAAAATTGAAACTTCGATGGCTTTTTGTTCAACTATGGAAGTGGATATTTACATAAAACACGTTTTCATGATGTAAATTTTGATAACAAACCAGAAAATGCCCTTTATTGCATTAAATAAAATTTTGTGTTACTCTACACATCATGGGTAGAGTACTTTTACTGTTAATAGACAGTTCTCTTGATTTTGGCCATTGGATTATGATCATCCTAAAACTTTGCGGCATTCGTTTTGAAAAAAGCTTTGAACTAGAACTATAATAACTTGCTTGTTTTAATCCCTCAAAAGCGAGTAAATAAACAATTCTGAGTTTCGGTTAAGAGTTGATTTGATGAGTTATTCGTGAAAATGGAAGCCATTCATAAAATCAAGTAACGGTCAACTGATGGTCAACAGTTTCTAATGTTATCCTTAATAGCTTTGGTTAACAGTTATGGTTCAGGTTTATAAACAAAAGATTTTCTCAATGTTACTTTCACTAGTTCATCAGGCAATTTCAACTTTTAATGATTAACAGTTAGAAATTAATTTCCTTGGAATTCAAAAACTATTGGTTTGTAGGGAAATAAAACTTCAGTTGAATTGTGCGATTTAAAATTTTCTCTGCTCGCTAGTTTGGGAGAAAATGCGATTTCGAAGTTGTGACTTCGATCGCTTTTGTTCAACTATATGGAAGCTAATTTCTTAATGAAAACCATTTACTGATTTAAATTTCGATTGCCAACCAGAAAATGCCATTGTTTTGACAAGAAAAAGTTTGGGTTTCTGTAAGACAGATCAAGTTCGATTTTGAGTTAAACGGACAGATCTCGGTGACCGTGAGAGTTAGAGATTTTAAACTTACTATTGATCGAAAGAAAATGTAAGCAAACTTCAGGGATCAAAAACTCTTCTAAAAACATCGATTTTTCACTTTATTTTGGCCTTTTAACCAAAAAACTTTGAATCCCAATATTTCGAAAATAGAAGTACCTGAATTCCTCATTCTTTGACCAGTCATTAGATCTCATTTTAGGCTATGATAATGTGAGATATAAACTGAATCAATAGCCCACAAAGAAAGTTATAGCATTTTATTACTCATGTTACCAGGTTTTAGACTTGGTTTATAAAGTTAAATGCTTTTCAAACAAACATCTTGTGATGTGTTAGAAGAATATTCATAATTAAAGTAATTGACTCAGTTGCGCTTAGGTACTGGATCAGATCATGTTTTAGTCTAATCTTATGTTATGTAATCTATTGATTCACCAAAGAATGATGATTCTAGGCACAGTCTTTTTCGAAATATTGAGGCTTAAAGTTTTTGGGTTAATGGCCAAAATTGAGAAAACTGTTCACTTATAGAGAAAAATAGTTGATCCATGAGATTTGCAAACAGTTTTTATCTATCAATAGTAAGTTTCAAATCTCTAACTCTTTTGGTACCCGAGATCGGTCCTTGTAAGGGAAAGTCGAACTTGATCGGTTCTACAGAAATCAAAACTTTTTCTTGTCAGAATAAGTGGTTGTTTTGGTGTTCTATAGTTCGTTACATCAGCAAAATGAGTTTCATGACGAGGTCTGCTTCCAAAGGGGAGTAATAGGCGCTCGAAGTTTCAACTTTAATCAATTGCAAATAGAAATAACGTTAATTGAACTCATTAGAGTCATTTTCAACAAATGGAAATTGATCTGAAATATTCTTTTTTTCGCTATAACAATTAAACGATGTAAATTGAGTTTGTATTAGGCAAAGATTGGGTTTCTTGGTTAGAGTAAATGCTATATGAGATCAATCCTTTTCTTCATTTCATCTCAACAAGCTTTTTATGTATCAAAATAAGTTAAACAGTGATTTGATGCCTGATACTGAAACCTGGAAAACCGAGAAAATGTACCAAGGACCGATTCGGACGACCGTTTTAGAGAAAATCCAGTTTAAAGTTTAAACTTCGATCGCCTATTCTTGAACTATGGAAGCTGATCGCTTCATGGAACTCATTTTGCTGATGTAACGGGCTATGGAGAACCAGAACATCCACTGGGGGGGGAGAAGAAAAAGTTGGGGTTTTCTGTAAAACCAATCAAGTTGAGTTTTCCGTTAAACGGCCCGATCTAGGTGACTGTGAAAGTCATAGATTCGAAACTTAATATTGATCGACAAAAACTGTTTGCAAATCTCATGGAGCAACTATTTTTCTCCATAAGTGTATAGTTTTCTCAATTTTGGCCATTAACCCAAAAACTTTAAACATAAATATTTCGTAAAGGATAGTATTTAGATTCACCATTCTTCGGTCAATCACTAGATTACATAACATAAGATTGGACTAAAACATGATCTGATCCAATACCTAAGCGCAACTGAGTCAATTACTTTAATTATGAATATTCTTCTAACACATCACAAGATGTTTGTTTGAAAAGCATTCAACTTCATAAACCAAGTCTAAAATCGGGTAAGTATATGTTAGATCACTACATTGAAAGATATTCATGCATAAGACGCGAGGCCCCTTGGGGCCGAGAGTCTTATCAATGAATATCTTTCAATGTAGTTATCTAACAAACTTATACCAGTTTTGTTGTATTAATGTGCTGCACTGTTATTAGTGCAATATACTTTTTACAAAACAATGGCTTTCCTAAAAAAAAGTGGTATAACATAAGTAATAAAATGCTATAAGTTTTTTCTTGGTCTATCGATTGCGTTGATATTTCATTATATCATAGCCTAAAATGAGATCTAATGACTGGTCAAAGAATGAGGAATTCAGGTGCTACCATTCTCGAAATATGGCTACTCAAAGTTTCTAGGTTAAAGGGCCAAAAGCAAGAGAATTATCGATGTTTTTAGAAAAGTTTTTGATCCCTGCGATTTGCTTACAACTCTTATCGATCAATAGTAAGTTTAAAATCTCTAACTCCTACGGTCACCGAGATCTGTCGGTTTAACTTAAAATCGAACTTGATCTGTTTTACAAGAACCTAAACTTTTTCTTGTCAAAATAAGTGCATTCATTGGTTGGCAATCAAAATTTACATGAGTTAAAATAATTTTTATTAAGAAACTTGCTTCCACAATTGCACAAAAGCCGATCAAAGTTTCAACTTTGAACTCGATTTCCTCGAAAACAGTCGGTCAGAGAAATCTTACAAAAGTACTTAGGAACTTTGATTTTATGTCCCTATAGGCCAAAAGAATCCATATGCTAGAGAAGTGATTTTTACCTGTTTTTACCCATTTGTTTACTCAATTATAAATATTCTTAAACACATCACAAGATGTTTGCTTGAAAAGCATTCAACTTCATAAACCAAGTCTAAAATCGGGTAACATAAGTAATAAAATGCTATAAC